ACTAGCACTGCATCGTAGCCTTTGGATTCTGGAAATCCGGTAATCATGTCGACCGAGATGTGTTCCCAAGGTCGAGATGGTACAGCATTGGGATGTAGCGGAGCTGCCTTCCGCTGCATATCAGTTTTTGTTCTCTGACACGCCTCACATCCTCGTACATAGGTTTCCACGTCTCTTCGCATCTTAGGCCACCAGTAGTCCCTTAAGACTAACTCCTTGGTCTTTTCGACGCCCGGGTGTCCTGCAGAGACATGGTCGTGGTGATGGGAGATGAGTTCTCCCCATAGGGTGTGGTCACGAGGAACATAGATTCATCCATCGTAAAGTAGAAGGTGGTCTTTCTCAATGACCCCCTTCTCATGGTTGAGGCTTGAAGCGATCCCCTGGTCCCATTGTTGGTGATCGCTTGTTGCTCTCCGAATTTTGCCATGAATCTCTCCCTCTGTTGGCATTATTAAGGCACGGAAGAATTCTGGCTTCAGAAGGACAATATCGTCGTTGTCCTTCTTGCCCTGGTCATGGTCAGCTCACCGACTCAAGAGGTCGGCTTTTTGGTTAGCTGCTCCTGGCTTGTGGTTGAGCGTGAAATGGTATTCCGCTAACTCAGTGACCCATCGCGCTTGTCTGCAATTGAGTTTCTGGGGTTTGCGGAAATACTGCAGGTTGGAGTGATCCATCCAGATTTCAAAATCCTGACGGGCACCCATAAGATAATGTCGCCACTCTTCCAGGGCGATCATTATCGCTAGTAATTCCTTGTCGTAAATCTCATAGTTCCGTTCTGTCGCAGAAAGAGATTTTGACAGGAATGCAATCGGACGCCATTTTCCTTCCTGTTCCTGTGACAGGACGGCCCCGATTGCCCCTTCACTGGAGTCTGCCTCCAAGCAAAACTTGTTGTAGTCATTTGGCATTGCCAAAATGACTCCTGTTGCGAATTGGCGTTTGAGTTCTTCAAACGCTTCTTGTTGTTCCTTTCCCCATGTCCAAGGGTTTTTCCCTGTGAGTTTCGTCATCGGTTTGATGATTGCACTATAGTGCCAGATAAATCACCGGTAGAAATTGGTGAATCCTAGGAAGGACTGTAGTTCCTGTTTCTTGGAGGGTGCTGGCCAATCCATGATACCAGTGATTTTTACTGGATCCATCTTAACGGATCCTTCGCTGATGATGACCCTGAGGTACTCTGTTTCGAGCACCTCGAATTCGCATTTTTCTGCTTTCAAGAATAACTTGTTCTTGCGCAGAATTTTCAGGACCTCCCGCACGATTCTTTGGTGTTCGGCCTTGTCCTTGGTGAAGATGAGGATGTCATCCAAATAAATGGTGACCTTTCCTTGAGTAATGAGATCTTTAAAGATATCATTCATCATCCACTGGAACGTGGCCAGTGAATTGGTTAATCCAAAGAACATAACCAGGGGCTCATAGAGCCCTCGGTTAGTGTGGAACGCGGCTTTGAATTCGTCCTCTTTCTTGATTCGAACGTTGTTGTATCCCCAATGGACGTCCAACTTAGTGAAATACCTCGCGTCCTTCAGCTTATCCATAAGGTTGGAGATAAGCGGTAGAGGATAGCGGTTTTTGATGGTCATTTCATTAAGTTTGCGGTAGTCTTGTACTGGCTGCAATTTTCCATCTTTCTTTTTGACAAAGAAGAAGGGAGACGCCATTGGGGATTTGGAGGGTCGAATTCGGCTGGTAGCCAGGTTTTCATCGAGGAATTTGTCCAATTCCTCCTGTTCCTTTGGATTTAACAGATATATCTTGCAGTCTAGGTTGGCATTGGCATTGGGGATCAACTCAATGGCATGATCCCAAGGTTTGCGAGGGGGAAGTTCATCGAAGTTTTCCTTGGCGAAGACATCGATGAAGTCTCGATAATGTTCGGGGACAATTTCCTCGAACGATTTTATCGTCTTTCCCTCATTGGCCTTGGCTGCTAAGTCATTGGCTTTATGCCCCACCGCTCACATGTGAAAGGCTTCTTCGAAATCTATGATGAGGATGGTGTCCCCATCCTCGACTTCGGTTCCCCATTGTTGTTCTGGGTCCTCGTCTGGGAGTCGGAACGGTATCTTGCAGCAATCACAGCGCACTAAGGTAACTGAACCTGTATTCCAGTTGATAAGTGGGTTGTGCCTTTGTAGCCAGTCGTGTCCTAGGAATATAGGCATTGTTCCAAGGTCAATGACTGCTAGTTCAATGCGTTCGCTGTGGTCTCCGATTTTGAGTCGGACTTCAGCGAATTTGGTGATGTCGCCTCCTTTGTTGCGGGTACCGTCTGTGTTGTAGACTGGAGTGGGGTGAGCCACTTTATGTGTGGTAATGCCACGATCACGGGTCCATTGTCAGTCGATAGCGCTTCTGGTACAGCCACTGTCGATCAGGGCCTTCGCAGAGTGATGGGCCATAGTATCGAAGGTCTCCAATTGTAGGGTGATCGTGATATTTTGCCCTTTCGCTCTGCGGACGTACTGGGGTGGTTTGGTAAGCTGGTCCATGTGTTCCAGCTTTCGGTATTTGTCCAAATAGGACTCCCCGACTTGGTTCTCCAAGTCGGCTACCAGCAGCTCATCCACCTCCATCTGTCAGCAGGGGTGGACCCACTGTTTGAGAAGTGATATCTTCTCTCCTGGGGTCTTGGCGAGTTGCATGGCTCGCTGAGTCCAGGCAGCTCTGAAGGGCTTCAGCCATTGGGAGCCTTGAGAGTACTCCACCGATGTTGGCGGTATCGGGGTCTTCCTCTCGTCATCGCAGTCCATAGGTGGCAAAGGCCCTGCCCCTATGGTTGTGCGACCAGTCCACTCCCTTTCACCTCGGTGCAGACACCCACTCGGGTTAGTTGGGAGGACTTTACTGGATTTTGGAGAGTTCCATAAACTCTTTGAATAACTAGGATCGTCGCTGCCATTAGTGCCATCCTTAAGGGGGAGATGTACCTGAAATGGGGAGTCTCTCTCCCCTGTGCGGCCTGCTTGATCCTTGTGGGCGATTGAGCTTTTTTGGCCGGTGTCCTCTAGGGTAGAGGTGGCTGCTCCTCGGTTATCCCTTTCACTTGGTTCCCCATATGGTGCTGGGTTATCTCCAAAGGCTTTACAACAGTCCGCCATCGGGTCCGCTGGGCTCCACCGGCCCTCGGCTTCGTCCCTAGGCTCGCCTGGACTCCCCGACCTCACCATCACCGAAGTGGTCTGTCGTCGGGGAATCTTGATGCACGGAGGAGATGCCAGTTCACCATCGTCTGGATCCACTGTCGCTATACGCGACTTTCCCAGGAGTTGGACTATGTAGTCCTCGTTTTGACCTCCTGTATGGCGGACGTCGCACCCCCAAGGTTCCACCCTTGGTTGCCTGTCGAACCGGTAGACTCCTCTGCATCGTACATGCGCCCCAAAGGGGTATTTGCAGTGGCTTGGACACAGCAGGTACCGTCAGCACTAGGACTTGGCTGATGGGGTTCATTGCTAGTTAAAGCAGCGGAAATCCCATGTATGCTGTTGAAGGGCAAATTTGAGGGTCCCCCTCCTGCTTTTATGCAAGCGTCGGTCGGAGGGGACAGGCACAAGGAGCCCTGTCGATCCTGGGCTTCATTCCTGGTCGTGCCTGGACTCTTGATCCATTGATCGAGAACTCGTTCCGGGTTCTTGATTGAACAATCGAGAGTTGCTTCCGGATCCTCGATCGACTGATTGAGATCCGTCCCGCACTGGTACGGCCTCGAACTGCTAGTCGGGTCCGACTCTTTCGTGCCTGACCCTCAGGGTTCATTGCCCGGCGGGCGGTGGGAATCCCCTGATACACCATTCGGGCGTCGCTCCTGCTTCCAGGGATGAAGGAGGTTACTGTCAAACCTTCAGAGCTCTATTACGCTACAGGCCTCCGATATCCCTGCGGCTTGAATGTCCGCTTTCCCGAGGGGTTCACCATCATCACAGCAGTGCCTACTCGTTCTCGGTCCCATACTGCTGGCAGCAGTATTTCGCTTGCTTGTTTCTGAAGTTGCACACGAGTCACGCCTTCCTGAGAGTCTGGCCCCTGTTTGGCCTTCGTCTTGACCTCTCGTGTCGTCAGCGCCCCTGCAAAGTGGCATGTCCTGACGGTTGGGGTTCATTGCCAATTTGGCAGCGGGAGAAATCCCTCGTACCCCATTATTGGTTTTTGCGATTCCTTCATGGTGCGAGATAAATGCAAGTATCTACAGATACTTCATTAGTATAAATATTTGTTAGGCGCACCATGATAAACCCCAGCCGACGAAGTAGAATTGCAGAGTCCTACGTTGGCATCTCCTTTATTTCCTCCATCTCTGGGGAGCTAGCGGGGTCTTCTTCCCCTGCTAGAACGGCTTTGGAGACGGGTTGTAAAGTCGGTGGCCTTTCCCTTTTGGAAACTTTAGTCACTTCGACCTGTTGGGCAGACATTTATTATCCCGCCCCTGGTGTCCAGTGTGTCCGCACTGGTTGCATCGCTTTTCTCTTTTTGAGACTATCGATGTCCACAGGTTTGCCTTCACTGCCGTAGGTGAATCTGATGGCGTCCCTTCTGCCCTCCAAGCCACTCGAAGAGCCCCCCGCTGTTCTGGGCTTGGAACCAGCAGTCCCGCTGGGATATTTCTCGCTTTACGTGAGATGAACTCGGTAGTTCTTGTCCATTGGTAGGACCTTGCACCTCCACTCCCAGTAGGTGGTAGGCTGCGTATCGTCTCCGCCCATCATATTGGGCCGGATCACAAGGGTGACGACTCCTTTTTCCCATCGTTGTGGGAGCATTTTTGCTTTCCACGGTTAACCGTTCGAACTCCTCAAAGGATTCGATGGTTGGTCTCCTGATTTTTAAAGGTTTTCTCCTTCCTTGTACGATCATGACAAAAGGGGTTTATTGTCCATGTTCGTGCGACAGATTTGTCCATAGTGATACCTACAGATAGGATTTCAACATGACAATTCTTGAATAAATACTTATCAAAGGATTCAGGAGTCCTGGTGTACAAAGACAGATTACCTAGTCCTTTGTTGACGCTTTTCCCTCAGCGTTCGTTGCCGAGGGGTTTTTGCTCTGCCCTCTTTAAGCAGAGCGCCATTTGGACCTATTCGATGGGCATTTACTGTCCCATCTGATATGTCCATTGAATCCACAGCGGAGACATCGCTCCTTTGTGAATTCTTGCTGTCCACTTCCTCCCGATATAGTTTCTGGGCGTCCATGAAATTGCATCGGTATCGGCCCTTGCCTGTTTATCTCGTGCCATCTCAATTTATCAGTGGGGCACCTTCGGTCCCGACCGAAGTGCCCTGCGTTTCCGCATCGGAAACACCTCCTTTCTTTCTTAAGATGATCCATGTCCATCCCTTCAAGGCATGACGCGTTTCAGGATTGGGAAAGAGAGGGAACCCTCTTTCCTAGTTCTGGGTTTGGAGACGTGGTCCAAAACACCTCAGATGGTAGGTGTGGTTTGGTCCAGTCTCCCCCAGATCTTTTCACATGGAGGACGTCTCTAGTGCTGAAATTCAGCACTAAAGACGCGGATGGTCTCGTCCTCATTAGATAGGGTGTCGGCGGAGGTATTACTGTCTTCCTCCGGGATCGTTCGATATTCTTCTCCAATGATGACAGGAGTCGAAAGCGAGTCCCATAGTTCTTTGTTGATGGACCTTCGGGCCATGGGATTTGGCCATATGGCCTCGTAAGAGGTGTCCAGCCAGGGGGATTCCCAACCATCCCCAGCAACGGAGTGCCAGATGTCGTTGGCGGTTGAGTCAGAGGACATGGGGGGTAGATCCCAGGATCCTTCTTTGGGGGTGATCCAGGAATCCATTGGAAGGCTGGTCCCCCAATCCAGTATCCCTTTTTCCTCGGCCACTCCTCTTTCTTTCCTGGCCAATTGGTGGATTCCACGTGCGAGTTCGAGAATGACTTGGTGATACCATTGATATACCCGGCTACAGAGGTAGTCGGATCTCTTTGAAGCGACCTCGGATTCGAGCCGGATGACTTCCATCTCACAGGAGGAGTCGGTATCTGGGCTCCAATGGGAGACATCTCCCTTAATGGATAGTTCTTGTAAGGAGGTGTCTGGTCCAGTGTGGACTCCCCATGCCCTTCTCAAAATTTCAGTGGGGGAGTAGATTCTCCTTCCGAGTTCTGAGGCGTGGAGCATTGGTCCAGCTTCTCCAGGCGACTCTGGAGATTCATCTCTTTGACGTCCTCCTGCATCGGTTCTACCGGCTGTGGTATGTCCACCTTCCTGATCGACTTCCCGGGTAGGGAGGAAAGGGTTGTTGATTCCTTCGAAGGTGGCTCCTTGCCCTTCTGCTTTATTAGCGGTGTCTCCATCATCCTTCTCCAGAGTTCGTATACCGATGAGTCAGCTGTACTCGTTGGTGTAGAACTGTCGAGTGTCAGTGGTGATGGAGACATTGGGATCGTCCCAGGATCCACTGGTATCTTCCCAGTATCCAGTCATGAATTGTGGATCTTTGGGATACTGGGTTCGAAGGTGGTCGCCTCCTGCGATGGGGCAAACGGAAGTTGATCCATCGCATAGGTAAGATCGCATACTGCAGTGTGGGAGGTGCCTTACTAGGGATGTAAGGATTTCCAGGATATGGGTGGTAGGGTTCATAGAATTGGGTTACTGTTGTTGGGTGGTAATGGGGGTATAACGCCCCGGGTTACTGCGCTTGTTTTGTTAATGAAAACGACAAGAGCAGAGGAGGTCGAGCCCGTTACTCTCCCACTGATTGGGGGTCGGTACTCTCTGGTATCGGGTAAAATGGATAACTGCAACTGCAGTTAATAGTATCAAGGTACTGAAGGTACTTCCGAAGATAATGGCGGTGCGGTCTGAGAGGGTGAGGGGCACAGAGCTCGTTGTATCACAACGAATGTTTTATGCTCCCGGGGGACGATAGGTGCCATTTTCAAATAACGGGCTGAGGGTTTCTTTTCTTTGGAAGTATAACAGTGACTGCCTTGAAGCAGTACAGTTACCGTTGACAATGGTAAGGGTAGTAAGGGCAAGCTTCGGCTAATTGTTAAGCACTAACTCGAACCTTCGCCAAAGCTGATCTCTATCCTGTCACTCGTGTTCGGTGATTCAGTGTTAGAGAGGCGTTGGTAGATTGCGAGAAGTTAGGCATCACTTATAGCAAAAGCAAGGAGCTTGTAAGAGTTAGGAGTGTATAACCTTAGCCGAAGCTGGGGTCTAAGACCACAGCGTAGGCTAGCTTAAATACATGTTAGACTCATACTAAGAATAGTGTCTACAAGGGCGCATGCAGCGAGAAGTGCGTCGTTCAACGAATGAGGAGTGAGGGCACTAAAAGAAGTGTGCTCCCGACGAATGAGAGTAAAGAGCGCATATCACCTGCATCTGCGCGGGACTCCGTCTGAATAGGCTGCATCCCGTAGACCGCCCTCGACTGGCAGTCGACTCTCGTCCAACTACTAAGAAGCATGATGCCATCAAGAGAAGCATGATGGCACATGCAGGTCACTGGTCATCTGGGAGGTGGCAGTGTGAACTGGGGTGACGGCAGCCAGGTAACCGGGTAAAGAGTGTGCCGGCAGAATATCATGGGTCTGGGAGATAAGATAGGTAGGTCCGGGGTTCTGAGAGATAAGGATAAGATAAGATAAGGAAAATAGGGGTAAAACTGTAATATCAGTTTGTTTCCAAGCAGACATGCCCCATTCTTGTATCCAGGAGCTAGGGTCAGTTTGAGTCATAAGAGGAGACACTAAGTGCTCATCTTTGAAGACGTCTTTATCCATGTCCAATGAATAATAGCCCTGCTTGTCTGAGACTGGAAAGACTGTTGAGCTCTCCATTGAAGAGCCAGGAGATGATATGGTTATACATCCCCCTTGATTCTCCAAGTGTCACAAATTGTGAGCTCCTACACAGTCTTCCTTGTTCTCATAGTGATTGATGAGTTCTTCAGCATTGGCAAGGTTACTCCTCTTAACCCATGTGGCTTCCTCCACTGGATATCCTTTCCATTTAACCAAATATTCTGTTATGGTCCTCCAGTTGCGTTCTCGACCAATAATACGGTCACAATCCTGAAGTAGTTCCTCTACTTCATATTCTTCCTCACTGTCCATGAGCTCTGGCTCAGGTGGTGGTGGTTTCTCCTGGTTGGGAAACTCTGAGGGGACATATGGAGTTAGGTATTGTTCATTGAACTTGTTATGGATCCTCCAACCTGGCAGTAGCCTCAGCTTGTATGTGGAGGGCCCCTTCTTTGAGATTATCTCAAAGGGTCTGACACATTGATGAACCTATAGACTCCCATGGGTGGAAACACAAAACCTAGGTGTGATATGTGCTAACAGACACAGAATCTGAAGGATGGTTCTAGTGAGTCTAGTTGAGCACCTCCATGTGGTGACTAAAGCCTTCTAAGTTTAAAATGATAGGGAATTATCTCTACTAGGAGTGTAGAGAATGGTAGTGAACTATTAAATTTGCAAGAAGGGAAGTAATCAGAAAAGGGGTCCTAGAAGCAGCCCTAAAGAGTAATTAGTACTTGTACAAAGACTATACCTTGTTATTGCAACTCTGGCTGCAAGTGCAATGGCAGAGGTTTCTAAATAAACAGGTAGTTGCTCCAAGTTCTGGCTGTGAACTTAGAAGTGTTAGTGAATAATTTAGTTCGCATGGCAAGGTTGGGTCGAGGTAATGAGAATTGGTCAGATACTCAATAAGACTTTCTCTGGCTGTGAGAAAGCGAAGGTGTTGGCATGGCTGATGAAAACACTGTCTCCTAGCTGCAGAGGCAAGCAAACTAGTTGGCGAAGCAAAATAATCAAAGAGTTCCTAGTGGCAGGACTCCTTAATATTTTGCATAAAAGGTAGGAAAGATGTAAAAGCACAAGTAATCGTGCAGGTTTAACTGTTGCTTAGAGAATTAAAGGTTCTGAATGAAGTTTTAGCAGCAAAATATCTTTATTGCACTACTTCAAAGGGTGTATGGTGAATGGTGTAGGTGTTAGGGATTGAAGGTAAGTATAGAGAATAATCTGGGGTCTCCCTGATTCACTCCTCTTTGGCTACCAGCTTGTGAACTTAAATACTCGCTACACTGGCTAACTAAGCTACCTTACTCTAGCACTAGTATTACTATAGCACACATTATTCAAGTTCTTACTTAGCAAAGTTTGTAAGTATGCACAGTTACCATGCCTAAGGCTATACTAATATTACCAAGCGTCTTCACTAACCAGCTCTCCAATACTTTGATGATTAACTCTCTTTGGCTGTGGCTGACTTGCCATAGTTTTAAACTATGCAATGCATTTTGTAAGGCCGCATCTGGATAATTCATGACTGCAGGGGGGGTTTCACATGGGGTGGCAGTGCTGATTCTAGACTGAGGCACAAAGTCCATGTTAAGCACTAACTCTAATCTGAACCAAAGCTGATCTCTATCCTGTCACTCGCGTTCAGTGATTCAGTGTTAGAGAGGTGTTGGTAGATTGCGAGAAGTTAGGCATCACTTATAGCGAAAGCAAGGAGCTTGTAAGAGTTAGGAGTATATAACCTTAGCCGAAGCTGGGGTCTAAGGCCACAGCATAGGCTAGCTTAAATACATGTTAGACTGGTACTAAGAATAGTATCTACAAGGGCATGTGCAGCGAGAAGTGCGCCTTTCAATGAATGAGAGGTGAGGACACTAAAAGAAGTGTACTCCCGACGAATGAGAGTAAAGAGTGCATATCACCTGCATCTGCATGGGACTCCATCTGAATAGGCTGCATCCTGTAGACCACCCTCGACTAGTGGTCGACTCCTGTCCAACTACTAAGAAGCATGATGCCATCAAGAGAAGCGTGATGGTGCATGCGGGTTGTCGGTCATCTGGGATGCAGCAGCTGTGAACTGGGGTGATGGCAACTGGGTAAATGGGTAAGGAGTGTGCTGGCAGAATATTATGGGTCCGAGAGATAAGATAGGTAGGTCCGAGGTTCCAAGGAATAAGGATAAGATAAGATAAGGAAAATAGGGATAAAGTCATAATAATACCCCCCAACTAAGACTGTCGTCCCGACAGTCCTTTAGACGTACTCACTCCCTGAGTCAAGGGAGTTAGTAGATTCCATATCTGATTTGTAGTCCTTAGTTTGTTCCCAAGCAGACATGCCCCGTTCTTCTGGAGGGAAGCTGGGGTCGGTCTGAGTCGTTAGAGGAGGCATGGAATGCTCGTCTTCGAAGACGTCTTCATCTGTGTCTGATGAATAAAAGCCCTGCTCGTCAGAGAATAATGGATTGGTATGATTCCTGTTTGGGACTGGAAAGAGTGTTGAGCTCTCGGTTGAAGAGCCAGGAGATGATATGGTTATACATCCCCCTTCGTTTTCCAAGTGTCGCAAATCGTGATCCTCTATGTGGTCTTCCTTGTTCTCGTATTGTTTGACGAGTTCTTCGGTGTGGGCGAGGTTGCTTCTCTTGACTCAGGTGGCTTCCTCCACCAGGTATCCCTTCCATTTGACCAAATATTCTGTTATGGTCCTCCGGCTATGTCCTCAGCCGATAAAATGGTCGTGGTCCTGAAGTAGCTCCTCTACTTCGTATTCTTCTTTGCCTTCCATGAGCTCTGGCTCAGGTGGCAGAGGTTTTTCCTGGTTGGAAAACTCCGGGGGGATGTATGGAGTTAGGTATCGTTCATTGAACTTGTTGTGGATCTTCCATCCTGGTCGTAGCTTTAGCTGGTACATGGAGGGCCCCTTCTTGGAGATTACTTCAAAGGGGCTGACATGCTTATTATCTAGCTTTTTTGCTGGTTGGGGAAGGTGAAGGTTGGTTGAATCCAATCAGACTTTGTCACCTGGTTGGTACTCCTGCACAGGATGAGTGTGTTTGTCATAAGCCTTTCTCATAACCTCGGCAGCTTTATTCAGAGAGTGTTCCACTTGTTTGCATACTCTTTGGAGGCTTTTGACGAAGTCAGTTACCGATGGTGTTTCCAACGGCCTCACCGCGGTTGGGTGAATCTCCCCATCTCATCTAAAGACTACTTTGATGGGGGAAAAGCCTGTTGCAGAGTGTTGGCAGTGGTTGTGAGTGAATGCTGCCCACTGTAGCCATTCACTCCAGTCGTCCTGTTTGTGGTTAATGAAGACTCGAAGGTACTTTTCGAGTTCTTGGTTAACCCGTTCCGTTTGTCCATCCGTCTGAGGGTGATAAGCCATTGACGGATTTCCTTGAATATTCATCATTACGTATAGCTCAGTGATGAATTTTGATACGAATTGTGGTCCCTGATCAGAGATGACTTTGGAGGGGGTGACCCCAAATCAACAAATGATCTTGTCATGTAAGATCTTGGCCCATCCACTCGATGAGAGTTCCTTCATGCATGAAATCAACATGATGTATTTCGAGAACCGGTCTACAATGACCAATACTGCGTCGT